AAGGAGCTTCTTTCAGCAGTTGGAGGACGTTAACAGCCACCTGGGTAGCGTAAACACTTGCAACTGATGATCACAATCAGTTTTCACTCCCTTGCCTTGAGAAAACTTGTCTGCTGTTAAATCCTGCCATCCAACACTTTGCAAGCTCCTTGTGCTCTCCCTTTTTAAGGCCTCTAACAGGTCATGCCTTGCTATTCCAGAAATGTTCCTATGGATGATAAATTTTCTAGCAATATTATTATTATTATTATTATTATTATTGCTGTGACTCTATGTCAGTTGCAACAGGAACGTGTTCCCCAGCATGGGGGGAAGATAGAAATAAATATTTAGCTGAATGTGAAGAAACTTTTTGCTATGAAGTACAAACAAAACACTGTTAGAGAATGTTTGTGGACACAGTTGTCTAATAAGCAGTGACAGCTTGTATACAACATCTCTTCTACACAGTCAGGTGGCAAATTTATCTACATTCTTTAGTGGGTTTGTGTAATGGTGTACATACATACTCTGCCTTGGGAAAATACCGTCTCTGGTATTAGGATTACCATCACTGTCACTCCAGGAATCGTGTAGTGCTATGACAGCATTAGCCAACAGATACAGGTTCAGTACTTATCACTGGGTACTTACCTTCTGGCAGCTCTCAATGAATTCATCTATGGTAACTACTCCATCTTTGTTTTTGTCCATTTTCTGTTCAGAAATAATAAGAATGTATGTTTATCCCCCAGAAATCCTGTGTAAAGCAAGTCCATTTTATTATTCATTTCAGTCACATGTCAGCCTAGGAACAAGCAGGCCAAAATGCTGTAAAGATGCAGTAAGTGATATACTAGAATGAGCTTATTATTGAAAAAGCAAGGTGTAATGAGTAGACCTGAGAAACTTGGGATGGAACCGCAGAGAAGAAAAATTATTACAAAATTGGTAGTATATGCAAAACTGTTACAACAATGGAAATCTTTCCATACCTGCTAACAGAGCAGTCTTTTTGGCTCCTATGTTAACCGACCCACCTGGAAAAATGTTTCCACATGTTGTCTAGGCGCATCCTCCTTGAGAACAGGATAGGTGCATTTCCCCATCATATCATATATTGCTTTCATGATATCAAGCATTTCCTGAAAAGAAAACAATACGTCTGTGTAATGTGAGGTGCATTGTAAATACTGCTTTAACTCAGAACTCATAAATTATTTTTAGGATTTACATCTTAGAGTAAAATTTTGAGATTGTGCCTGTTATTTTATGACTGAATAGCTTCAAGAAGGAACTACTATGTTCCTAGAAATGCTAGCATGTTAGTTCAGCTTTCACAGGTAAACTTGTTAAATAGATGCAGATGTATGACTTTTTAATTTTAAGTGATTTAGAATATCTGCAAGTTCATGGATTGTGGGAAAAAACTCCTGAGGTCTTGTGGATAAAACTAAACAGTAAAAGAAGTTCTGTAACAGCAAGTGAATGGTCCAAGCACATTAGCTTCTTACAACTGTTTTCCCTAGAGAAAATAGAAACACACATATGCGGAGTCCTCCTTTTATATTAAAAGTTTTGAATTTTGTTAATAGAATGGCTTGTGAAAACTATAATTATAAGAATAAATCATCTGCCAGTATGCTGAGAAATTATTCCATAGATCACCCTTTTATAACAATCATGATGTTTTTTTCTAAAACTTTAAAATGGTAAGTGTAATATATATATATTTACATAAAGACCCAGTTTTGAAAAAACATGTCTTTTTATGAAAGCACTCATTTGGCCCCACTGTAATTTAAGTATGTGTTTGAATCCTTCCACAATAAAAGATGTAGGAAGGTTTTTTATATATATTCTGTTTCAAGCAAAAATTTTAGAAGTAGATTCATAAAATGAGTAACAATTATGGCCCACATACTTAATTCTTCTTTGTCCAAATATCCTACCAAACTACTTTATTCTGGTGACTGCATATGCAAATACATATTCATATGTTGAAGCCAAACATTTCTATACCTGAAGAATTCTGACCTTTTACAATTTCTGTGAAGATTTTTCCCTTTTCAATTTTGCCTTTAAAATGAGGAAATTATTTTTAGCATGTCTAGTTTCATGATATAGGTTTATTTGTTAACATGTATAATTTGACAATGAAGCCATTCTTCTTTGAAAGCAGGACTTAGATATACAACCTCTAGTTTCAGTGATTAGTGTAAAAAGTAGACCTTACCTCTTTAGTTATATAACCATCCTTATTTATATCATACAAATTGAAAGCCCAGTTCAGTTTCTCCTGTACTGTCCCTCGGAGTAAAATTGAGAGACCCATAACAAAATCCTAAATAGACAAAAGGTCTTGGTCAGTTTGGAATTGAGCAGTTTTTCACAAACACTCAGAAATCTGGAATAACGCATTCATCAAAAGCACAGAAAACTGGAAAGCTGTGTTGTTTCTAACTTTTTTTTTTGGTTCACAGTAAGTGTTAAGGATTGCTTTTTTTTTTAAATAATTAACAATCTAGGCACTGTTTGCTACACTCATAATTAATAAGCAAATTGAGTAATTTTCTATAAAATAAGCCATAATTTCCTGTTAGTGGATTTATCCTCTGAAATGCCTCACATATGCAGTTCCTGTTGAACTTAATACCAGGGAAAAGCAATCCCCACGGTTTAACAGTCCAAAAAAAAAAAGCTTAAGCAGGAGTTAGATTAATCTAAGCACAGGAGACCAATTTTAGGGAACTATTTACAAAGGAACATTAAATTCTTGTTAAATCTATACCTTGTTAGAAGTGGAATATGTGGTTCCTAGACCTCTTAGATCAATCTGCTGCTGTCAACAATTGAAGTTTTGTGTATGTTACAGAACACCTCAATACTTCAACTTTTTACTGGAAATATGATAGAGAATAATATTTATTATACATCCATGTACCACCTTAATACTTTTGTGGCCCAGCAATGCTCTATTGCTGCAGAGCTATTCCACAGAAATAAATAAAAAGAAGACTTTTGAGATTATTTAGGTAAAAAATATTAATTAATTAATTTATTTATTTATTTATGTAGTATTTACCTATAGATTTTTTTTTCACACTTAATACTCTTTTGAAAGAACAAACTTAATTTACATTAGTGACCATCTTCCAGACTGGAGAAAATATCAACTGGGATGTGTCATCACCTCTCTTCTGTATTTCTTAGCATGCTAACTTTTTTTGAACATTGGCTTTTTTTTCCTAGCCATCTCCTCCACCTTTTTCTATTTGATAAGCTTGTAAATCCGCAAATCTGTGAAACTGTCTTCATAATAGGTTGAGAAGAATATGGCAAGAGCTTATATTTAAATGTGCGTTTCTATGCCACTGGCAAAGACATACAGGAAGTCTTAGAGTAACATTAAAGCAGAGACAATAAGAGCTGAAAAATTTGTTAGCATCACTAGCAAAGTTTATGCATTTCCTTTAAACAGGAACAATGGAAAAGACTGCACTGAGGTTAGACATAAATTATAAAGGTCTGATGTAACGATACAGTGAAGTATACACAGATATCATGGCCTCAGATGGCCTAGTAGGCACAGACAGCTCTTTTGACAGCTTCAGTCTTTTTAACAATTCAAGTGGTATGCTCTGGGTTTTCTTAGTCTGTCACAACTTTCTGTCTTCCTGGTATATGTGCCCTTTGGGGTAAATGGATACATGAATCTTGAAAGAGTTTTGCACAACTGTTCTTGTCTATATCTCAGTGACTAATTAAGGGTCACAGGGTTAAATCTCTAAACAGCTCTTTAACAATGTACTATTAAGTATTAAAATGTTCAAGAAATTCAGAACAGATTTGATCACATTACAGCATTAGCAATTAACCTTTTTAATTCAGTACCGTGTCTTCAAATCTTTTCTACACTGATTTACATTCTTGATGTAGCTTTTCCTGAAGTCCTTTGCAAAGGTCTCCAACAAATTTATTTTCTTAAGAGTATTATATTTCAGAACTCTGAATTTATTTTTAATTTGGCACCAGCAACAATTTTGCATTTATTCCACCTAAGCCATATCTATTTTTCTTTTTCTGATTATTTATCTTTGTTCCTTTCTGTGATGTACCACCCATATATTAGCTGGCTTCCTGGCATCATCTATATCCCGATGGCAAGTCTGCCCTTCTATCATCGATTTTAAAAACCACACATGAAACCCCTTGACTTTATGCTATTTTGCATGGGAATGAATGTTCTTATAAAAGTTGAGACAACTCAGAAACCTTCCAGATGTGTTCTCTAAACCTCCCAAGAGTGGGTCATCTCCTTCCATATTGCATCAACATATTTGGGAATCATATGCAGCTCAGTTCAGGTACATTGCTTTTGTCTGAGTCTTGTGCAGGAGTCCGTCTCAGAAACAATAGAAAGGACTTATCATAAGAGGAATTTGTGATGATCTGACTAAGGACCAGTTAGGACAGGATATCTTTTCTACATACTTACTTTCAGACAATTGAAAAATACAGAAATAAAATCATATAGAAATAGAAAATCTGATTCAATGGACATAGGCTAAACCCATAGGGTACTTTGGGCTAGATCCTCAAATTGAAAAATGCACTGCATGGTGGAGGGCAATGTATGTATCAGGAGCAGCACAGCTATGCTAGCTGTTAAGCTAGTAATTCAGTGCAGATTGCCATAGTAAAGCAATGCTTGTTACCAACAACTCAGTGATGCATGAATCAGGCACACCATTCAGCAAGGAGTATGAACACAAGTCCCTATTACAGTATTAGAGTATCTAGATGTGTTTTCCTTCCCAGTTTAGACATCTGATGTTTGGGAAGAGAGGAATTCTACTTTTAGAGCCTATTTATTTTTGAAGTAAGATTCACAGTACTGCTTGGATGCTTACATCCCCTAAGGATGCCAACACTGTCCCCTGAGAGTGACAGTCCTGGTCAGCTGAGCAGCTAATGAGGAGAGGTGCATCTGATCTAGGGTCACAAAGGAGCCTAAAACTTCAGAGGAGGTCTGGACACAACCCTAGGTCAGGTGTCTTTTCAGTCTGTGACAGCGAAGTTAGAAGCACAGAAGTCTTTGCTCTGGTGCTTGCCTTTACTCCTTTCCACAGCTTCCTAATTTTAACTTGCTAGC